TATTTTTACTGTCATCAATTTAGTATTGTAATATTGTTTGCCAACGGAGGCGACGTTTTTGCCCTGTGCGTAACTGAATGACTTGCACCAAGCACTAAACCATTAGGAAACTTATCAAGCAATAAACTGCAGGTATAACTGCATTTCCTACTCGGACTAAATGTATATCAAGATTACTGAAATTTCGCGGTTAGCAGACAAGCGAAAAATAAATAACATCATTTCTTATCTCCGAAGATTCAAAGCAGCGCTATCAAATCCACGACATTTTGTTGATGATTACTCATTTTTAAAAACAAATCTTATTAGCCTGTAATAATGACATATACAGGGACGATACTGGTGGCGCAGACTAATCTTCAGCGCATCTGCTACTCCCTCCAGTACGCATGAAGTGGGTAACAGGGGACCGCTTCATTCTCGTCCTGGAGATACTGGCTTCGTTCCAACAAAGCCGAATACCGCTCAGTGAATCATAATGAGCGTGCGCAGTACGTTTTTAGTGTCACTTAAAACGTACTGCGCACGCTCATTATGATTTACTGCACGGTACATGGCTTTGTTGGAACGAAGCCACTCTTAATAAATTTGGCACGAGCTGTCGGTCTTTTCCATTGATAGTATTTCCGGGCATTGTAGAACTTTGTACTGAAGATTGCACGCCAATATCAAGTAAGTTGTCACTCTGACAAATATGATTGAAGGACATGCATACGTAACGACAAGGTTTTCGAGACGGAGACACACAGCTAAAAAACGTATGTCTTTGAGCTTACCGAACAAACGTTCACACACAGGGGTAGGTTGCACGTGTATCTATGAGGGAGATAGAGATATATAGGGTGTCCCAGAAGTCGACGTCAAGCCGAAACCGGGTGATAGGCAAAGTCATAACAGCCATCAGAAAAATATTTAAAAAAATTTTATGTATGTGTTTTGAAAATTATAGGTCTTTGAAAAAAATATAGAAATTTCACACCCCACGGCAGTCTGTCAACTCCTGTTACTACAAATATTAACTTTTTTTGGATTTTATTTTTACAACGTAATGATGAATAATGCATCTTCAAACTGGTGTCTCAACCTTACTGCCAATTTTTGTCGTTCAGGAAAAATTGCCACTTATTTCAGAAGCAAGTATTCCAAAGTAAAACTTTGCTCAACTTTAACTGGCTGTACTGGAAAAAATGTACTACGAGAGTTTGGCAAGTAACCTTAAAAGTTGGTGCATTTAATAAGGATTCCAAAATGGTATAACTTAGAAGATTACTCGTTAACTTATGCACAATTTTTATTTGAAGAAAAACTGATAAAATTTTTTCAAAATTTATTAATTAAACAGCGATTATGAAAACGCACAAGGACCCTTAAGGATAACTGTTTGCACAACAGTGGGCGTCAAAATGCTGCTGATGATGATTTACCTTTACAGCAAATGCTCAAACTGTTTTCCTTCAGCCGCAATACACGCTCGACATCTTCTTAAAAAAGATCGGGTTATTAAACGAGCGAATCCACGGTTATTAACAAACTCAGCTGCTTCCAATAGTCTTTGCCGTAGCTCAGCTACATTTTGAATCGGCTTGAAATACACTTTTTCTTTTACAGTTCCCCAGTAAAAAATATCTAACGGATTCAAATCTGGTGACCGGGCTGGCCACGGTATTGTACCAGACCGCCCTATTCATCTGTCTGGAAAGTTTTGATCGAGATACTCTCTCACTGAGAGTGCATAGTGCGCTGGGCAGCCATCATGCTGAAACCACATGTACCTGTAAATACTCAGTGGCACGTCCTGCAATAAATTTTCTAAATGATTTTGCAAAAAACCTAAATAAACCTCAGCAGTCAAAGTCTCTGGGAACTCAAACGGACCGATTATTTTACCATTTAAAATTCCTGTCCAATGGTTTATCTTGAAGCGATATTGAGATTTATCTTCTCTCATCAAATGTGGGTTTGCTACGTGCCATTCGTGTAAGTTATGCTGGTTCATGTACCCATCTTTCTTAAATGTGGTCTCATCTGACCATAAATTTTTTTTAAAGAACCGTGGATCTTTCCTGTGTCTTTCTAACATTGTGCGACAAAAAGCAACTCGGGGCTCATAATCCCGGGGCAGAAGAGCTTGAACACGCTGTACGTGGTATGGATGGAGCACGTTTTTTTGCAAGATTCTATGGGCTGTACTTTTGGGTACACCTGTTTTTAGTTCTATTGCACGCACTGAAGTACTCGGCAGCTCGACAGCTCCTAGCACCACGTCTTCGTAAGGAAGGAAAGATCTTCCCTCACCGTGTGATTGGTTTGGTAGTTGGCCCTCTGAGAACAGTAAGCGGTGCACATTTGTGAACATTCGGCGATCTGGATAACGAGCTGCATTCGGGTACCTCTCACAGTAAAGTCTCGCTGCAGCACTAGCGTTGCATCTGCATTCCCCATAAATGAGGTGCATGTTAGCATATTCTTGTACGGTGTACACGGACATAGCGGCACTGCACAATCACACTATCAAAGATAGTCTAAGGAAAGCAAATGTTGTTTTGACGAGCAATTAAACAGTCCAAATCCAAATCACAAGCGATCAACAGTCCAGTTCACGAATCCAAAATTAGTAACAATACGAAATCAACAAGCACGAACATGTAAAGATGCGTAGTAAACGAAGGAGTACTGATCGGTATCAAAGTGTGCAATAGCAAGTAAGTGATGTGCTTCATCCATACCACATACAGCGTGTTCAACCTCTCCTGCCCCGGGATTATGAGCCCCGAGTTGCTTTTTGTCGCACAATGTTAGAAAGACACAGGAAAGATCCACAGTTCTTTGAAAAAATTTTATGGTCGGATGAGACCACATTTAAGAAAGATGGTCGGTACATGAACCTGCACAACTTACACGAGTGGCACGTAGCAAACCCACATTTGACGAGAGAAGATAAATCTCAATATCGCTTCAAGATAAACCATTGGACAAGAATTTTAAATGGTAAAATAATCGGTCCGTTTGAGTTCCCAGAGACTTTGACTGCTGAAGTATATTTGGATTTTTTGAAAAATCATGTACAAAATTTATTGGTGGACGTGCCACTGAGTATTTACAGGGACATGTGGTTTCAGCATGATGGCTGCCCAGCGCACTATGCACTCTCAGTGAGAGACTATCTCGATCAAAACTTTCCAGGCAGATGGATAGGGCGGTCTGGTACAATACCGTGGCCAGCCCGGTCACCAGATTTGAATCCGTTAGATTTTTTTACTGGGGAACTGTAAAAGAAAAAGTGTATTTCAAGCCGATTCAAAATGTAGCTGAGCTACGGCAAAGACTATTGGAAGCAGCTGAGTTTGTTAATAACCGTGGATTCGCTCGTTTAATAACCCGATCTTCTTTAAGATGTCGAGCGTGTATTGCGGCTAAAGGAAAACAGTTTGAGCATTTGCTGTAAAGGTAAATCATCATCAGCAGCATTTTGACGTCCACTGTTGTGCAAACAGTTATCCTTAAGGGTCCTTGTGCGTTTTCATAATCGCTGTTTAATTAGGAAATTTTGAAAAATTTTCATCAGTTTTTCTTCAAATAAAAATTGTGCATAAGTTAACGAGTAATCTTCTAAGTGTTATACCATTTTGGAATCCTTATTAAATGCGCCAACTTTGAAGGTTACTTGCCAAACTCTCGTAGTACATTTTTTCCAGTACAGCCAGTTAAAGTTGAGCAAAGTTTTACTTTGGAATACTTGGTTGGGAAATAAGTGGCAATTTTTCCTGAACGAGAGAAGTTGGCAGTAAGGTTGAGACACCAGTTTGAAGATGCATTATTCATCATTACATTGTAAAAATAAAATCCAAAAAAAGTTAATATTTGTAGTAACAGGAGTTGACAGACTGCCGTAGGGTGTGAAATTTCTATATTTTTTTCAAAGACCTATAATTTTCAAAACACATACATAAAATTCTTTTAAATATTTTTCTGATAGCTGTTATGACTTTGCCTATCACCCGGTTTCGGCTTGACGTCGACTTCTGGGACACTCTGTATAAAGGGATACTGGTAGTCTTACTTTGACCCGCTAAAAAACCGTTCTACAACTATACTGAAATATGTAATATTACGTCCTCTTATAATACACTAAAATTAAAAATAACAAAGTATTATTTTTCTTAATAATTGAAAACCCTGCAATATAAAATTCCAGAAATTCGGACATATGTTGCTATAACCTCTTCTAGGTAAAATTATCTGAGAACTATTTCCTGGATTGTTAGCACGTCATCAAGGAACAGCCTTTGTATATTAGAATTGAGATTTTTTGAAATTACCTACATAAAATCAAGTAAAACATTGAGTATTCGTTAGTATCATACTTGCTCATAAAGATATCACTTACCAAAATCTACGACGGTCTTGCATCTTGCGTTGGTAAAATCCACATACAGACACAAAAAGTCACAAACTGTTTCTGTCCATCAAAGCAACATCGGTAACATAAACAACCGGAAATCGGCGCCAATTCACGATTAACAACTCGTTCACACGATACGGTACGGCACGGGAATTTAACCGAAACGACATTTTAACCGAATCGGGTCCAGTGTTCACACGATGCGGTATAATATTTTTGCGCGGATACGCTTCTTGTCAGTTGTTGATTGAGTTTGGCACAATGAATGCAAATATGTTGGTTTTAATGTATTGGTATCGTAGACTCTGTAAAAAACGAGTAATAAGGAGATATTGGGAACACCCTATTATTAGAGAAAGATTTAATTTGGGGTCCTTCCGGACACTTATGTGTCAATTAAGAAGAGATGAAATTAAATTTTCCAATTATTTTCGGATGTCTTCCTCTACGTTTGATGACCTACTTAATAGAGTGAAAAAAGACTTAACTCGAGAAGACACAAATATGAGAACATGTATCAGTGCTGAGGAAAAATTGGTGATATGCTTAAGGTAGGTGTCATTTTTTAAAAACTTTATTTTATATACAAATAAACAAATCAAAAATTGGAAATATCTAGATCTAAAATAGAATCTTGGCTTGCAACAGACTGTGTAGAGGGTGACGGTTCGGCAGTATATGGACTAGTCATTGGTGTTGTTACTCTTGAAATTGTTTGTGGCTGTGGCTGACTGTAATAATCATGATTTTGCCAATTATTGTAATAAGTGGCAATTGTACGCGATGGCATTTGAATATTATCGGCCAACCTTCGCTTCTTTGCTCTCATATTTTGCAATAAACTTAACACACTCGACTGAAATTCCAAAGTTTCATCTTCATCAAACGATGATAATGATGGAAGAAGACTTTTGAAGAATGTAAGATGACGATTTTCATCCTCTTTGACTGTTGAAACCTTGGATAAGTTGATTTGATGGTCTATGAATCGCATCATTTTGGCATCAACTTCATTAATACTCCTCTTTCTGCGTGCAGTAGAAGTACTGATGGGAGTACTACCAGACTGATTTGCTTCCATATTCGGTTGTTCAGGTGGAACACTCTCTTCAATAACTTCTGCATCCAAGTCTTCTATCTCGGTGTTATTTTCATTATTAGTGTTTTCATGACAAACAGTTGAATCTGTAATTTTTTTCAGGAATGACATCTGCTCATTATATATATAAAGTCTTGAAGGTTTGGTCGATGTGCCACTTGTTTTTTGGTCTTTATGTTTTTTCAATGCTTTCATCCACGAGTCTCGAATGTATGTCCACTTTTTTAAAATCAGCTTACCTGGAACAAATAAAATAAAACGTTCCTTCCTTTCAGGTATCTAGCATCTGGGTGTTCGTATAAAGATCTGCATTACTCCTACCGAGTTGGTGTCTCAACAATTAGCAATATTGTGAGAGAAGTTACTCGGAGTATATGGAATAATATGGGTACTAAATTTATGGCATGCCCTGATACGCCAGATAAATGGGAGGAAATAGCGAATGGATTCTGGATGAAAACGAATTTCCCGCATTGCCTCGGTGCGGTAGACGGGAAACATATAAGACTGAGAAAACCCGATAACACTGGCTCTATGTACTTCAACTACAAAGATTACTTCTCTATTGTTTTATTAGCAGTCGTAGATTCAGAATATCGTTTTATATACGTGAATATAGGGTCCTATGGAAAAGATTGTGATTCGTCAATCTGGAAAGAATCTACATTGTGGAAAAAGTTGACACAGGGCGCTTTAAACATACCAACACCCAGACCTTTAGAACAGACACAAATAAATGTACCCTTTGTGTTTATTGGCGATGAAGGTTTCGGATTGCATGACAATTTATTAAGGCCTTTTGGCGGTACACATTTAGACAAGAAAAAGCGAATATTTAATTACCGACTTACTCGCGCTAGAAGATATGTTGAATGTGCATTTGGCATCTTAGCTAATAAATGGAGGATATTTCATCGTCCTCTAGATGTTAAACTAGAAACAGCAATATGGATAGTAAAAGCGTGTACTGTGTTACATAATTTTGTCCGAGAAAAAGACGGGTTTAATTTTGAAAACGCTCATTTGCCAGAAATCCACCTTGACAACTTACCAAAAGCACAAAATATACGAGGAGGACTATCTGCCAATTCCATAAGAACAACTTTTGCTGACTATTTTCTAACAGAAGCTGGTTCTGTTTCTTGGCAAGATGAAGCCATCGGTTAGTAAATTTATGTATGTCAAAATAAACAATAAAATACTTACCAAAAGCCTGCCTCTCCTTTTGTTCCATATCTTCGAAATTCTCCTTTAACAGAGAACATATCTCTCTCCATGCTGACGACTTTAAATTTTTGTCTTTATATGTGTCAAGTGTTTTATCCCATAAAGCGGGTCTCGCTTCCACTAAACTTATCAACAGCTCCGTATTTATTTTCTCCATTGTATATATGTAGGTATATACCATAAATATGAGCAAACTATTTAAAGCCGAAAACAAGTGCCGTTCGGCAAGATAATCGAATCGCGACTGGAGGTGAAATGGCCAATATACATTGTACGTGCCACTGAAGGCCGATTCGGTTTTTTTCCCGAACACAACCGCATGCGACCATACGGTTGCCAGTGGCGCGAACCGAATGCAAGTCCGAACGAATCGGCAGTTTTCCCGTATATGGGGTACGACCGCATCGTGTGAATATGCAGATTTAAAATATTGCGCCACTGCGAGATTCGATACTTTTACCGGTTCGATTAAATGATCGTGACCGAGTCGTCTGAACGAGCTGTTAGGATGACAAATAAGCCGTCAGCTTTGTTGTTTGCTTCAATGTTTTAGAATTGACAGAAACACGTGTATTAAACAATACTCAAAAAGTGTTCAAGATTCGTAAAACACAACTCGCGATTTATTTCGTACTCATAACTCGGAAGCATGCATATTTTTGCAAATAACACTATATGTATATGTTGCAAGCACCCGTCAAAAAACTCAAAAATCTATTGATAGACAACAGTATGTATAATTAATTCACCTTGTCTTTTTTTTGTCGAACATGACATCCAGTTAATATAATAAAATCAACGTAAGTGATGAATGCCTATGAAATCTAGTCGGCGTCGGCACAATTCATCAAAATACGTAAAACCCTATATCCAACATGTAATCAACACAATACTTAAAACATCTTTCTTGCTATTTACTGTACCTTGTTTATATAATAGCTAATGCAAAACTACTATAAAAATTTATTGGTATAGTTATCTATCTTGATTCTTGATCACATTATATTTTGTACAAAATACCTTAAAATCGGTTCATCCTTTTGTAAAATATACGACGCCACAAAACAGACACTTGAACAAAACTTATAACAATAGCCCGTTGTAAAGGAAACCGATCACAACATTGAATTCAAACAAATCTTCAGATTGAAAAATGCCCTGGCAGCGCGGCGTCAACGCTTTTTGCGACATGATTACCCGTACTACCATGTAAATAAACCAAAAAGGTACGAAACGCGTAGCGCCCACGATGTAACTGACCTACAATAGATAAAATACGAAAATCATTGTCGAATTCAAAGCCATCTATGACGCCGTATCACCTGTCCTTTTCTACTCCGTTCCTCAGCCTACTAGATAGTAAGCTGTACCATGCGTATACTGCCAAAAACTCAGTAGTTTTTCTTATTTCATTCGACTTAAGCCTAGAGTTTTTTTCTTATAGTTTTGGGGACCGTACATTTTTTGGTTATATAGTTGGATTATTGCTTCCTAATGATAAATTTAAATTGTCGTTATGATACGACTGGAGTGTTTGCCGTTATTTGGAAGATCCGTATGATGGAAAATACGGAAAATCATTGATCCTCTGAAAAAAAGTGATGGAAACATATTTGTAGGGAGTTAAATTCTTTATCATTTACCTTCGATGAAAATTTGTCGTATAGATACAAGAGATATAAGAGTAAAGGTACAAGAAATGATATTTCCGCTTATAATGGCTAAACTAACAACCTACGCGTATATAGACTACTATCGTTTCTTGTATAGAATAATATTTTCTACAAAGAAGGTTCTTTCGTTTTTTCGACACCTTGATGGTTCTTCAAGTATAAGGAGCGACGCGTAAGTTTGAAAAATGTAATCTTTTCGGATATTACATACAAGTCACTATCTTCCACCAATCTGTCAATTGGCTTCTTTGTCATTGCACAGCCTCAACGATTCTGATGGAGAGTGATGTCATAAACCAGCATTATCTACCATATCTTCTGTTTCATTAAAATCAATGCAACGGTGCAACTGATGGGAGTGAGTGAAGATATCACAAACTCTCAAAAAATATTACAATTTCCATATTTGCAGGTGGTAGTAAAACTGATTCTCTTCAAAATGGTAATCTTGATCATAGATAATTATTATGAAGTTATTTTCACATGACATAATGTACGCGGAGAACGTATGTAGCGTGTGGAGTATACCGCGGTTATGTTTTGCTAGGAGTTTTCAAATTTCCCTTCTATTTAAAAAACCTTCAAAGTGTTAAAAACATAAAAGACCTTATTTGAAATAAGGCAGCACAAATTGCCATCTATTACCGGAGTCAAATTTTATTCTCTATAAAAAATATAGATAATAGTGTAGTTGTAGTCACCATTCTTGGAGGGTCTAAGTAAGACTACCATCAGTGTCTCTTTATACAGGGTGTCCAATAAGTACCACGACAAACTTAAGGAGAAGGTAGGCTTTGGACTGACCACCCAAATGACAAAAACTTACCTGTATAAAAGTGTCATCGTTTTTGAGATATTGAATTTTTCCTTAAATTTAAAAAAACGAACCTTTTCATCTGTGGTCTTTAGCTCTGCATGTACAAATAAAGTTATACTTTGTTCATTTTTTTTATAAAAAACTTCTAGATAGTTGCTTTATCATATACAAATGAAATGTAGTTAAAAGATATTAAGGAACCATGATAAAATAAGGACTGTTTTGGGATTTATAACTTTCTGATCTTGTTTCCTCAACTTTCATAAAATCATATCAGGAGCAGGTAATAATAATCTAGCTTTGTGCTATTTAGCACGTCACTGATCGGTAACCAGTGCAACTTGAATTTAAATCCAATAATTACATTGTAGTGTGTGTGTCAGTCACTTACAAAAGCAGCTATCACTTTTTTCTATTCCAAATAGTACGTGTGTGACCTTTCTGAAATCTGTATTCAGTGAGCAATCTTTCTATTCAATATAATGCAGTTGTAGCCCAGTACATTTTTGTTAACATTGATAAATCCTAATGTACTTCGTAGAACATTGCGTAATAGTAATCCGTTTGCGATTAAGTTCATCGATTATGGTCAGCACTCTCCCCTCGATAGAGCACTTTGTCTTATCAATTTGGTTCAGTCTGACATTAACATCTCTACCTGTGCATTAACATCTCTACCTGTTCACTATCGGGCTTTAAAAAGTACCTTTTGCATTGCGATTTTTTATAATAATGTCTTGTGAGCTCCTATGTTTTAAATATTATTTCCATTTATTCTACGCAATTTTATTTTTGTAATAATCGGTTCACCGGAAAATTTTGTAAATTGATAAATACATACATGTTCGTAGCTATTTTCTCAGAGGATCTAACTTGTACTGAACATAATCATTCATCAACTGATGACGGCGTTGCGTGTGAACAGCAGGGCCGTAATACTTGACGCCAGTTTTTGACTGTGTTATTTAAATTCACAGACCCAAACCTAAGTCTAGCGAATTTGTCCACTTGTAGCCACAGGGAGCGAAAATGGTATTTTTGCTTGACAAAAACAAATTATAAAGGTGAAAAATGGGGCAGTCAAGAATATAACCCCAAACCCCGATAGCACGAAATATTCATATTTATTCAATGTTTAATAATATCTTTATCTTATACTTAAATATTTGTTTTCTTAAGCAAATATTTAACAAATATTTGTAATATAATATTTTTATATATTTATTCAATATCTTTTAAATATTTTAAATTCAATATTTCTTCTATAATATTGATTTGATATTTACTTTTCAATCAATGGAAAAATATTAATTCACCAATATTTAGAAAATATTCATTGAATATTTTCTGCTAAGGCGCATGTGCATGTGACCCTGAGCGACCAATGGCATAATAGCAAGCCGGCCAGAACTGACTCGTTTGCCGGCAGCCGGCATCCATTTTGCCTGTGACTTTCAATATGATAGCATGCTTCCTGTGTACATCCAAGTGGTATATTATTTGAGTGTTTTTTTTTGTGGACAAGGGAAAAGGCTAAGTTTTTCGATAATTTCATAGCTTAATTTATCTAACTAGTAAACATTATTGTGCCAGTTGAGTATAAAGGTATTCACAACCCCTATAGCACGAAATATTCATTAAATATTTATTTAATATTTAATCATATTTTTATCTTACTTAAATATTTGTTTTCTTAAACAAATATTTAATAAATATTTGTAATATAATGTTTTTATTGAGTATTTATTTAATATCTTTTAACTATTTTAAATACAATATTTCTTTTACAATATTCATTAAATATTTACTTTTCAATCAATGGAAAATATTAGATCTCCAATATTTAGAAAATATTCATTAAATATTTTCGGCTACGGTGCATGTGCGTGAGACCTAGAGCGACCAATGGGATAATAGCAAGCTGGCCTGAGGCATCCATTTTACCTTTGACTTTCACTATGATAGCGTGCTTCCTGCGTACCTCCAAGTGGTCCGAGCGTATTTTTGTGGAAAAGGGAAAAGGGTTTTTCGGTAATTAAATGGGTTAATTTATCTGACTCTTAAACATTATTGTGCCAGTTGAGTATAAAGGTATTCACAAGACCAGAAATAACTAGCCATGTGGGGATCTTTTAGGTGCATTATAGAGCTGCCTTTCAGTGGCCCAGTTGAGCTGCTCGGAGTAACTCACCATGCTCTGCACCAATGTTGTTCCACTGCATTTTGTATTCCCATAGGAAAGCAGCTTATGTATTCAATAATACTTCATAATTAGTAAGTTCGTTTTTTTTTCAGAGAAGTGGACTTGCAAGATGCAGAAGAGGCTTAGAATGTTTATGTAATAATATTTTTCTAGCAAACTAAACCATTGTATCTAGAATAAATTTTCTTTATAAACCCAATGTTATATATAAGCATTCCTACAATTTTTGCTAAAATAACCAATGAGGAATTTTATATATACACTGAAGATTAATGCTTGAAAATCCATACATATTTAAGAAAAATAATAGATATTTCATCAAAATATAAAATTGATATTTAAAAATCCTTCCTCATATATTTTCTAAATATTTGGAAAAAATATCGCAAAAATATATGAATTATATATACTGCAAATATCTATAATGAATATTTTACAAAGAAATATATTTATTAAATATTAAA